TACGTCTGATCCAGGGTCCCCTTGGGTCGCCCCAGGTGCCTTCCGTCTGTCCCGTCTCACGTCCGTCTCCTTCGTTCTGTCGTCAATTTTCGTCAGCACCCGAATTCTCCTCTTTTTCTTATTATCCCTAGTCTCTCCCCTTTTTCTGGCGTCGTCCCGGGTGACGTCCCGCTCTTGTGTACTCCCCTTGGGTCGGTCGCCCTTTATTCCGCCGACGGCTCTGGTCTTCAGCCCCCGTCAGCGACTCCCGACACTTTATCCCGTCGGTACCTGTCCTGCTAGTGGTTCCGCTGGTATCGCCATTTTATCTAGGCCCACGCGGTCCCTGGCACTTCGGCCCGCCTGCATTACGTCTTTCCCTCGGTCTCACGCGGTTCCCGGTACTCCGCTCTGCCGGCACCACGCCGTCCCCTGGTCCCGCGTGGTCCCCGGCTCTTTGTCCTGCCGGTACCGCCCCGTCCTCCGATCCCATGTCATCCCCGACACTCCTGCCCCATCTGTACCACGTCTTCCCTTGGTGCTCCCGACGTCCTTCCGCCTTACGGCGGTCTTCGCCCCCCCCGTTCCCTTTGTGTCCCACACGCCGTTCCGCTCCGGGTGCCGGTTCCCCCTAACCTGCGATCTCCTTGGCCCACCTGCCGCCGCGTCACGTCAGCGCCTTGCACCCTGTCCCTTCCCACTTTCTTCCTTCCCTTGCTGCGCACCTCTCATGCTGCTACCAACTTCCCGGCGGCCATCCTCCGTCCTTGGGGAAGGAGTCGCCCTTGCTATTCTCTCACATTCCTTTGTCGCTTCCCGCTTAGACAATTCCTCTCTAGCTTTGGCGGTCTTGACGACTCCGGACAGCCTCTAGCCTCCTACTATTTATGCTCATGCTTTCGATCTTTCCATCATTCCTACCTCCGATTTTCTCTGCCGTGCACAAATCGGTCAAATACAGTCTCTCGTGTGAAGGGAAATCATTCGGGACTCACCAGTCCCGACACCGTCGGAACCCTCCGCAGTCAGGTCTCGTTTGCTGTCATGTACTTGATGTGCAACATCGTCTTAGGAACCCCGTGGCTGAGCCGCTACATGCCATACGCATTCCACCCCAACTTCCTTCGCTTCACCAACCCCCCCGACACAACCATTGACATCCCTTATCTCCCATATCCGACCTCCCAAGGCTCTGTCACCCCTCACCAATTCCTCCACATGGCTCGCCTAAACCCCGACTCCACCTACTACTGTCTTGTCCTTGATCGCGAAAGTCCCAAGGACTTACTCCCGACGGACAAACCCGATCGAGCCCCCCCCTCCAACCCCGCCATCACCTCAATCCTCGACGAGTTCAGGGACGTCTTTCCCGAGTCCTTACCCGCCGGACTACCTTTGGATCGTGGCGTATCCCATACCATCGATTTGGAACCCGGACATTCTCCACCTTGCCGCCCTCCATACCAACTCTCTGTCCCCGAAGCCGAAGAAATGAARCGGCAACTCGGTGAACTCCTTGAAAAAGGGTTCATTAAGCCAAGTTCATCCCCCTTGGGAACCAGCTGCCTTTTCGTCAAGAAAGGTGAAACTTCAGAACTCCGCATGTGCACAGACTACCGCGCCTTGAACCGGATCACGATCAAGAACAAGTACCCCCTACCTCGGATTTCCGAACTCCTTGATCGTCTCCGTGGAACCAAGTACTTTACCAAGATCGACCTTCGCAGTGGCTTCCACCAGATCCGTATCCGTGAGGAGGACACCCACAAGTCCGCCTTCCGTGCTCGGTTCGGGCACTACGAGTTCCTCGTGATGCCATTCGGACTCACCAATGCCCCCACTACCTTCCAGTCTACCATGAACCACATCTTCCGCAACCTCCTCGAAGTCTGTGTCGTCGTCTACCTTGATGACATCCTTGTCTTCAGCCCCACCTTCGAGTCCCACCTTCAGCACCTCCGCCAAGTCCTCTCGATCCTCCGAGAGCAAAAATTATACGCCAAGCTCAGCAAATGTACGTCTGCCGCTTCGAGCATCTAATACCTCGGCCATATTGTCTCCGGTGAAGGCATCCGTATGGACCCCTCGAAGATCACAACACTCGTCGAGTACCCCCCACCCAAGACCCTCCTCCAATTTCGTTCCTTCCTCGGCCTTGCCAACTATTACCGCCCGTTCATTCGCAACTTTTCTGAGATCTCTTACCCTCTCCACGAACTCACCTGCAAGGACGAGCCCTTCCATTGGAACGATCACCGCTAACACGCTTTCGACTTACTCAAGCAAACCATCACCACGGTGTCGGGACTGGTGGGTCCCGAATAACTTCCCATCACTCGAGAAATTGAATACGGACAATTTGTGCACAACAGAGAAATCTGGAGTGAGGAAGCAGGAGAGAGAAAAGACAAAGGATTAGGCCGCAGAAGGGAGTGATGCCTTGAGGAGAGAACCACAGGAGGAAAGAACTAGCGAAGGCAAGCGAGCGAGCGCAAGAACAGGGGCACATAGGACATAGCAGAGGCCAGGAGGGCCATCAGAATGCAATAAGACTAAGGCCAAAGGGCCCTTTGAACTAGCAATTGCAGCGCGACAACAATGAGGGAATGAGGAAGTCGAGGGATGGGCGGCCAGAAGCCGCGGGAAACCAGGAAATGAGGAACCAACGTGGGGGCCACCTACGGGAGCCTCGGAGCGGAGGCCCACGACCAAAAAGATCGGCACTCTCAAGGCGCAAGGAAAGACTAAGGAGAGGGGTCGCTATGGGGCGACAAGACGCCCAAGGGGCATGGGACACCTCGGGGAAAGGCACCCGGGGCCACGTGAGACTAAGTAAAAATAATGGCGTCCGGGGCGAAATGTGTCGGGATCGCCGACGGGACAAAGTGTCGGGGACCGCCGGCGGGATTAAGTGTCAGGGACCGCTGGCGGGACCAAGTGTCGGGGAACGCCGGCGGGACTAAGTGTCGGGGACCATCGACGGGACTGAGTGTCAGGGACCACCGACGGGACTAAGTGTCAGGGACCACCGATGGGACTAAGTGTCGGGGACCACCAACGGGACAAATGGTGGGGACATGTGAAAGTCCCAAGAAGAAACGGCGGCACCGCATGAGGGAAAAATAATAAATGCAAGGTGCACCGTCAAGATCGACATCTTGACGGCCAAGAATATTAGCACCACTAGTGCAAGTACTAGTGGTGACAAACGGGAAGGCCAAAAGGAAAAGGAGAAGTAAAGAAAACTGAAGTGGGAGGCATTGGAGCAATCCGAAAAATCTCGGATCAGCCTCCCTCAAGAAAATAGAGTCAAATAAGACCCCATGTGAAAAATAGCCCTCCGGGAGAAAATCCGAGTAGGAGGGACCATTGTGGGAAAAATGTAGGAGTAAAAGGAGGCTCCCATGGGCATGGGAAGGCCATTATTGCAGTCTCAGAAATAACGGACTGCACCTTGGGCATAGGGAGGGCCGAAACTAAGAGGAAGAGGCTAGAAAAGGGCCTTAACGGCCACTTGACACTTGACATGCCAGAAAAAAGAGAAAAGAAAAGAAAATGGGGGAGAATAAGACAAAAAAAGTGAGAGGGAGTGAGTGAGTTGGCCGTCAGTAGGGACTGACAGGTCCCTACTGTCCAAGAAAGGAGGAGAAAAAAAAAAGAAAAGAAAAGAAAAGAAAAGAAAAGAGAAAAAGGCCTTAACGGTAAAAAACGGTCACTTAGGGAGATTCATCCGTGACCAGATTCATTCTGGAATATGGCGGTTACAAAGGACTTTGACTTTCTTTGATTTTTGCAGAGAAAATCAAAGAAAAACAAGGCCTCTTGCAACCGGAATAAAACGGAATGCATGCATGAGGGGAAACACATGTTTTAGGTGCATCCGGAGCCAAAATCAAGACCGGATGCAATTGGGAATTGACCGTTTTTTTTTCTTTTGAGTAGGGGCTAGTTGTGGGGCATTGGGGCTAAGGAATTAACCCCCATTGCAGTTCGAGTTGCAACGGACTGCATAGGGGAGAGAAAACACATGTTCTAGGTGCATCCAGAGCCAATATTGAGCCCTGATGCACTAGAAAATTTAACATTTCATTTTCTTTCAACATGGGGCAAGTTGTGGGGCTGTGGGTATGAAAAACAGCCATGACTGCAGTCCGAGAAATTACGGACTGCATGAGGACGCCAAGGCCAAGGGGAAATGGGCTACGGCAAGCCCGGAAGGTTAGAAAAAAGCAATTTCGGCAAGGCGCAAAGTAAAGACGGTAAACGACAACCGTGAGATGAGATCTAACGGCCTAGAAAAATCGGAACATATGTGGAAATGATGGGACCACCAAGGGCAATGGGCCCCAAAAAAATAAAAACGGGACGCCGTCCGGAATGTTGTCGGGGACCAAATGGGTCCAAATAATAAAAAATTGGAAAAACGGGACACGCGCCGGCGGGACCGCCGGCGGGACAAAGAAATGGAGCTAGTAGGAAAATGGCGGGGACTTAGGATGTCCCAAGGGAACCATGGGCAAACACAAGGAATAATTGTGCAAGCGAGCGGCACCGTCGAGATAATGGATCTAGACAGTGGAAAATATTAGCACCACTAGTACTAGTGGGAGTAAGTGAGGGAGCCATGAGGCTGCCCAGCAGTCCGGGATATCTCGGACTAGCAAGGCATAAGAGAATAGAGCCTTAAGAGACCCAACATGAGAAAAAGGCTGCCCTTAGAAAATCGGAGCAAAAGGGGCTCAAAATTGGGCAAATGGGAGCAAAATGGAGCCCCCTAGGAGCATGGGGGTGCCATTATTGGAATCCGAGATGTAACGGCCATGTAATAGCCATGAACCTGGCCTTGAATGAGGCCCTAGGGCCTAGAAAGAGGGTACACAGCGGCTTGACACTTGTCACAACAGAAATAAAAGAAAAAGAAAGAAGAATGGGAGAAAAAGGAGGGAGAATGAGACAAAAAGGGAGAAAAGAGTGGAGGAGAGTGTGCCGGCCTATWGRGACCTGCACAGTAGGGACTAGCAGGTCCCAACAGTGACCTCATTCCTCCTAGAATGAGGGAGGGCAATCCGGATTGCAAAGATATGGCCCTTAGGCCCATATATCAATAAAATATGAATTAAAAAGAAGAAAATGAGAGAAAATGCAAAAAGGAAGTGGCCGGTTTTTTTTTGGACCATGGATCTGAGATCAGATCTCATGGTAGAGAGGAACTAGCCGTTTTTTGTGGGCCAGCTCAAAACGGCTAGCTCCGGAATGAGGCGGCAGCCCAAAATGGAAAGAAACAAAACAGGGAAAAGGACAAAACAGTGCATTTGTCCCAAAAAGAGAGCCAGATGCACCAAAAATTGAAAAACTGGACTTAGGGGCTCAAAATTGAAGCAAGGGCTACTAGGGGGTAGCTCGGATTATTGATGGCCTTGGATCTCAGCCAGATCCAAGGCTGAAAATGTGCCGCCATATGGAAAAATGCTCCGCCCTACTCAAAAGAGGCCGAAACTTGAAAATCGAGAAAAAGGCCCACAAGGCCTTTTTCTTTCAAGTATTGCTGCCCCTTGGGCATTAGGACCCTATAGGGCAGCATTTGAGCAATGAAAAGAAGACCGGGGTGGGCCAAGATGCAGTCCGAGTTGGTACCAACCACTTGGACTGCATGTACTTGGCCAAAATAAGGCCCAGGTACCTCCAGGAGGGCCTCGTGAGGGAATTTTGCCTTGGGGGTACCTCGGTTCACCTCAAGGCTCATGGGGAGGCTCATGGGCTGGCCGGATTGATGGTTTCAGCCTACATGTCCTAAGGATGCAGTCCGCCACTCTCACATTTGCATGAGGAGTGCCCATGCTGCCCAAGTGAGCTCACAGGAGCACCTTTGCACTTGGAGTGAGGGGGGAGGAACCCATGCTAGTGGGAGAGCTTAGAGGAGACAAGGAGGTAATGAGGAGGACTCTAGAGGATAGTGATGGTGGGAGAGGCACTTGGGAGGTGATCCGCCATATCCCTCCTGGGTGTAGGAGAGAGGGAGAGGCTAGAGGAGCCCCATTAGCCCTCCTAGAGGGGAGGACTCCATAGCCATAGCTGGGAGAGCTTGCCATAGCCTGGGAGAGAGCAAGGAAGGAGGAGAGAAGGGCTTGGAGAAGAAGGAAGCCATAGCCAAGAGGGGAGTGTGCAAGGAGTGGAGGCTTCATCAAGAGGACACCATCATCAAGGATCAACAAGGTGAGAGGAAGGAAGAGTTTTCTTCTTCTTCTTCTTCTTCTTCTTCTTCCTCCTCTTCCTCCTCTTCTCCTTCCTCTCCTCCTCCTTTCACTTCTTTCTCCTCACTCCTTCTCTCTTCCTTCTCTCCTTATCCCCTTTTCATCTCCGTCTTCTCCTCTTCACTTCCATCCTCTTTGTCTCCCTCCTCTTTGTCTCCCTTCTCTTCTTCTCCATCTCCATCTCCCTCACCTCTCTCCCCTTCTCCTCCATCTTCTCTTACTTCATCTTTCCCTCTTCCATGGGCTACTCAAACTCTCCTCTTTCACTTATACACTAGAGGGTAGTACTCCGATTCTTTCCTAGGTGCTTCTTGATGCAATCTTGGTGATATGAGAGCTTCAAACTTGTCTTTTTCACACTCACACTAGTAGGTAGTGTAGCGCTTCACACATGGATGCT